TATATATGTAACTATTTTAAATTATTAATAAAGATATAAGCAAGGCCTCACCTTAATACCAAAAAAAAAAAAAAATTATTTTAAATATTTCAAATTATTTTGAATAATTTTGAATATTTTTGCAATACTTCGAATAGTTTCAAATATTTTTAAATTTCAATTCTTAATAAATTTTTATAGCTTTTGAAGAAATTTATATTATTGAGGAGTACTTTAACAACCAAGATTAAGAATGCTATGTTTGCTATATTTAAAAATTTTTTATCTCATATTAATAATAAAGCAAAACTTGAGATCGTTCATAAGTAAAAATGATCTGAAGAAACTAAATTTTGTTATAAGTGCTATTTAAGAATACTTCTGAAGACTCAGAAGATACTCATTGCAGCGAATTTATGAAATACCCCAAATTTTGAAAATTTTGACTACTGATAGTAAGTCAATTTATTTGACTTATCAGTGTGATCTATTACATATTTGTGATGTACAGTATATATTATAGAATTTGCTATGTCATAAAAATATAGTTTTTAAATAAAAAATTTAAAAAAATTTTTAAATTATTACAATTACACATATAAATAAAATAAAGGAAATAGGTGAAGAAGACTCTAATTATCCTGTAGATCATACTATTAAGTGGAAATCATCATGAAGAAGTTTTCAATATTATATCGTAAAAGAAGGCACTTACTCACATGAACCATATCTTGCTTATACTAAAAAACCAAACAGTTATCCGATTCCTGATAATTATGTTGTAGAAACAACTTACGGAAAAGATGAAAAAACTGTCAAATGCTCTATTAGTTATATTAATGAGAAACCTCGATATAAGATAGAATTTGGAGTATTTGGAGAAGAGTGTGTATATTCAGATTCTTCACCTTTAGCTGTAGTGAATGCCTATTTAAAAGCCTATAATGAAGCAATTATAAATGAGAAAAAACAAATTAAAGGCTTAGATGTAATTTGTATTTCAATATAAATAATTTAATTTATTTATTTATTCGAATTTTATTAAAATTTTATTTTATTAGTTTATGCAACCAATACTAAATAGTAAAATAAATGGAATATATTTATTTGGATTGCAGCTATCACAAATTAAATTGGTATGCTATAGTCGAAAAAGACCAAGAGGCATTAGGCCATTTTCTGAGATAACAAATTGAATGCAAGTTATTAGAAATAAAAACTTTGGTACAAGCCTTAAGTTCAATTTTGAAGATCAAATAAAGCAACGATTTATATTAAATGATAATGTTACTATCAATAAACTAAGGTTTATAGTAAATAATTCAAGCTTTCGAATTGTATACCAATCTAAAAAAAATGATGAAGTAAGCTGTCAAACAGCTATAGTTTGGGCTATTGATTATAATAGAATATCAAGAGCTTCAATCGAGCTTTAGCAGCTATATGTCAAGACTTACCACGTGAAAAAACTATTTATAAAAGACTATATCAAATAAATAATCTTATGAATAAAAGTATTCTGATTTCTTTAATTGATTTGAATTTGGATTTATTACCTAAAGACCAACTAGATAGTGAGCTTGATGTACATATTATGGATTCAGAAATTATAGAAGAGGTTGAAAATTCATTAGGAAAAGGAGTAATACACTCTATTAAAGATGTTCTAAATTTTATTATATCTTCTCTAATTGAGAAAGGTAAAATTAATTATTCAGAATCAACACTTCATATTCATATATCTGGTGATGGCTGAAATGTTGGAAACAAAGTCAAACATGTAATAGTAACTTTTACTATTTTAAACAATATGAATGTTTTCAAATCTGATTCACATCTTGCATTGCTTATCTATTCTGGTACAGAAAGTTATAACACATTACATATTGCACTTAGTTCATTAATAAGAGATTTAGATAATATTAAAAATGGATTTATCGATAAAAATGGATATAAATGGAAATCAAATTGTATATTTCTGCCGATTGGAAATTTTTAAGTATTTGTTTAGGACACAAGTCTGCAAATAGTGCGAACTTCTGTCTTTGGTGTTTGATCAACAAATCCCAAAATGGTATTGGAGTATTTAAAACAAACAATAATAATAAGCAAGATAATTGGACTATTAGTAAAAAAATCAAAGATATAAATCGCAAATATTCAAATTACCTGGGCACAAATATCCTCTATTATTTCCAATGATCCCTATTCAGAATTGGGTCATAGATGAACTTCACTTAATGTTGCGTATTTATGATCGACTATGGACACTTGTTTTAAGTGAATTACGCAGTACAAAATGTTTTACAGATCAAATATGACAGATAATTGTATCTGAAATGAACCGAATTAATATTTCTTTTCAATTCTGAGAAAACCAAGAAACTAAAACTTGGTTATTTACTGCACTAATGGGAAAAGATAAGCTTAAAGTTCTAAGAGGTTTTAATTTAGATGTTTTATTTGTTTCACAAAGAGCTGCTATAATTAGACAATTGTGGGATGGCTTTAATGATCTATATAATGACATACATAATTTAAATATATCTGGAAATCAATTTTATCAAAAAGCACAACAATGGTTAAAACTTTTTTTAACCCAATCTCAAGGCAATGTAAATTCACCTGGATTTATTCGTGGACTTTATAGACCAACAGATGTAACTCCATATATTCATGTACTTGTATATCATGTATCTGAATTTATTAATATATATCGAAATATTGGGTTTTCAGCATTTTCTTGCTGTAGGGTAGAAAAAAAAATTATGATCATGTTTTGCACTTTTTTCGCAGAACTATGAGAGATGGTGGTATTGGTGAAGATCAAAAATCTGCGATATTAGAAATTATGGAATGTGAAAGTCGTTCTAATTTTTTTTATACTTATAATATACCAAACTATTTCAAAAAAGATACTACAATTAATGATTATTAAAGCTTATTAAATTCTGCAATAATAATATGTATTTTAATATTTTAATATAATAAATTCTGCAGTAATAATTATATATATATATTTAATTACATAATTATTATACTATTTCAAATTTTTCGCTATCTAATTTATTAAATATCTAATAAAATTGCCCTATGAAAAATTTTAATGTAACCCAACTTGCTTTAGATATATTTCCCTTCTTATCTTTAATTAACTAATTTTTCCAAATTATAATCATCTCAGGTTTTTCTGGATTTACTTGAAAAGAATTATTTAATTTAATCTTTGATGATGATAATTGAGTTGATTCAACAAGCACAACCTCAGATCTTTGTTCTTGCTCAAATATTTGACAACCTCAATTTTCCTGATTAAAAATACTTGAAAGAGTATTATATGCATCATACCCACTAAATCTACACACATATCTTCGATGACAAATTGAATATTGTTTAATATTGTTTTGAAAGATCGAAATAAACTCTGATTCTGTAAGTGGTGCTGAAATCGTTTGTGGTTCTGAATGTTTTGAGTAAAGTTTAAGTTGTGATTGAATTAGATAAACTAATACATTTTTTATTTCATTAATATGAATATCGGGAAGAATTAATAGATTTTTAGGAGGTATATTATAATTAAAGTGCTTTAATGTTTCATGATGACTCCATCCACTTTTTTTTCAAATGTTTTGTTTGGGCAAAGTGGGCATAAAAATAGTTCATTTAAAAAGATATTCGTAGCTTTTCTTTTGCAATGTATTTTTTGGTAGTGTATTTTGAGTCCACGATGGTTTTTGAACTTTTTCTTGCTACAAAGTAGACATAAAACGCTATTGGTGTCACTAACATCTATTTTCTTTTTAGTGCATATGAAATGAACGTCATATGTATATATGGTACATACGTAAATATGTATGTATAAATATTTATATGGGTACACAAATATATGTATGCTGTAAAAGTAATCATGCGATAATGATTTTATTAAGATTTATATTTGCACATACATATGTACATATATAAAATTTGATCATCTAATGAGGAGTATCAAAATAAGTAACCAATAGGATAAGCAAATTGGATAGTGGGAAAGATGGGTTAGAATATGGGGAAGATGGGTTAGACGTGTTATCAGCCTAAATCAGAGGTTCAAAATTTTTTTTTGAGGTTTGGTATTAATTTGCCAATAGTAAATTAAGCAACCAAAATTTAAGTTTGGTGACCAAATGTTTAAATTTGGTGACCAAAATGTAACTAAATTTCATAAATTCGCTGTGATGTTATATGTTGCTTATATTAAACAAAATATGGCCTTCTAGTAATGTGACTCTAGAAAAAGTTGCATATGCTATATTAGTTTGTTAAACTATGCTTGATTTTATGCAAGTTAGTTTAATAATTTCTGAAAGCATTATAAAACACAAACTTTCAGAAATTTTTGTATGTATTTATTGTATTATTATAAAATTTTTACTTATATAATCAAAATTTTTTTATTATTAGAGAAAGTTAGAAAATGATAAAAAAATTTCAACATTGGATACAGAAAATGATATATCAAGTTTTAAAGAAAATAAAACTTTAGAAAACTCTGAAAATGTATAATACTAATATTTTATATTTGAAATTAATTTAATATTTGCACATATTTATGCAATATTTTGATTATTTTAAAAATTTGTTACTTTTTGTAATTTTCAAAATATATTAATTTTATAACTAAATATTTAATACTTGGTGTTATTATATTAGTTTTTTAAATATTCTGAAAAATATTTTTTATTAATTATAAATTTATTAAATATTTTTCTATTTATCTTTCTAAATAATACTAGAATATCTCAGTGAGCTGCAGTAAATAAAAAAAAGTTTTGCAAGAATCTGAAATTGTTTGTATTATTTTAAATTATTTTTTAATTGTTAATATTAATTACAATTAACAAAAATTATTAGATAAGTAAAAGGTTAAAAGAAAATATGATCATTAAATTTCAATTATTTTATTATTATAATTTGCAGTATTTTAAGAATATTTTTATAATTCTTAAAATTTTCAATTATATTTACATATTTTTGCTTATTTTTGAATATCTTTGCAATTTTTTATTACATTTTAAAATTATTCACAAATATTTTTTTATATTTAATTTAGATTTATCCAATGAAAATCAAGATACTAAAGAAGAATTTTAATACTTTTTTATTTTTTTTAATATTTTCTAATAATCTTTCTTTTTTTTTAGCTATATTTAAATGAATTGAAATACAAGAATTTAATATTTAAATAAAATGTTTTTGTTATTTTGTTTTATTTACTAATACATTTTTAGTTATTTTATAGATATTCAATACTTTTTAAATTACTTTGAAATTTTTTACAAATTTGTAAATATTTATATAAATATTTCTTTTTTTTTATCTATTTTTATTTGTATTTGATATATAATAAATAAAGTTAATGCAGATTAAAAATAATTAAATTTTCTTAGTTAATGATCAAATAAAAAAATCATTTAAATATATTAAAATATGTAAATAGCAAAATTTTAAATAAAATAAAAAAAATTTATCAATAAAAATTATTTCGTAATTTTCAAAATATTTTGAAATTATTTTAATCTTTTCAAAATATTTTGAAATTATTTTAATCTTTTCAAAATATTTTGAATTGTTCTAAATATTCAAATATTTTTTTATTTTTTATTTTTAACTTTAAGCAGTTATGCTAGTACTTTATTAAGTTTCTTAAAACTAAATACATTTATAATTATATAGAATTTCTCAATACTCAAGTCTAGCATCACTCAGCTACTCTATTGGTACCTAAGTGCAATCTGCCACACTATCTCAGTTAGAGATAGACTGCTCATCTAACTACTTAAAGCCATACCAAAAAGGTCTTCTCCTTTCTGTAACAAGTATATTAATTGTTTTTAAAACTTCTTTCTTCATTCAGTTCATTTTTTCTACTTCCTTTTTCTTTTTTTCTTTCTTTGCCACCTTATTTTTTTTTGCTCTTTTCTCTGATCTTCTTTTAATTCGAGCACCTTTTTTCATCTTGTTTGTTATATTAACTTCCTTTTCCTATTCTTGTACTTTTCTGCATTAAACTCTTCATACTTGGTCGAAGAATATATTCCACACTGTTCTTGTGACTATATCTATGCATTTTTGTGTTGCCTGGCTATTTAAAATCTAACTGATCTGCTTTCCAACTTTATTCATTGTTAGCCTTTTTATTAAAGCTATTCTATTAGCAATTTTCTCTGTTTCTGTTTTTCCAAATAATACCTCATATAGTACTAAAAATAGGATTCTAATATTTTCATTTTCTTTAAGACTATTCCATGCTGTTGCTGTTGCTACCTTTCGGATTCTTTTCCACAAACTTTTTTGTCCACTGCAGCTTGCTAGGTGTGCTTAAGTTTCCTTTTCACCTTCTTGACATACTTGGCAGTCAGTCATTTTATATATTTCTGGTCTTCTTCTATTTAATTCTTCTAATG